ACGCATTACAATGAATAGTAAAACCAAAGAAAGTCTATCCTTCTTCATTGCAACACGTGCAATCAGCAGGGAGTGGATTCATTGTTCCAAACATCAACATTTCCTGAAAGTGCACATAAGAGTTAACAAAACATTACTCACTTTATCAAGAACAAAAAGTCGGCAAAAATCAGTTTAATTAGAAATCTTAAGCTTGTTTAAGCAAAAAGATTAGATCTATTTATCTCCTAAAAATTCATAATTTTTTACCCCACACCCCGCTTAAGATCAAAATAAATTTTCTTTAAAAAAATGTTGTATCCTTACAAGGAACCAAAGGTTATGTCAACATCATTGACAAAGTGAAAAAAACTGAACCTTTGATTGACCAGAGAAGTAAAACAAAGGGAAGATATCTTAAAGGAAATATTCGGTTAGATATTACCAACATGAAAAGCACTAGATTTAGTGCAGACAAAAATAAAAATTCTCTATTTAGCAACAAGGAAAAGTAAAAAAATTATAGATACTACGTTGGGCCTTAACCATTGTTCCACAATAGTTGTGGTTCCTCCTTTTCCCCTACTAAATTATTATTGAAGAAGCGTACTGTATCAGACAACAACCCTACCATGGGCTATACCTAGGTGTTATTGGCACATTCACCTGCCATGATATCCATGTTCCTTGTGCTCTCCCTTAAGATTTTGGGACCAAGATGACCCCTATGATATGGGAGGGGATCACTGCTTGTTGCTCGGTGGAAATGGAAGATTAATTCATGCATTGGCCGAAAATGTGCCTATTAGTTTTGAAAAAACTGTGCATACCATTCGTTACGGTAGAGATAGAGTTACATTGTCCAAAACCCAATCTTCTTACGGGAATAACAATGCAACTTCTTAAGGGAATAACAATGCATTATCCAAAACCAAATCTTCTTACGGGAATAACAATGCAACTTTGTTTAATAGTCCAAAACCCAATCTTCTTATTGTATCTAGCTTTCGTTGAGGAAACTCTGGAAAGAACCTGATAGAACCACGCTTTAGAACTCCGAGAGGAGCCGTGCACAATACCATATCTCCCTCAAATACTTGTCCCGCAGTAATCACCTTCACTCTATCTCTACTGTAACGAATGGTATGCACAGTTTTTTCAAAACTAATAGGCACATTTTCGGCCAATGCATGAATTAATCTTCCATTTCCACCGGGCAAGAAGTGGTGATCCCCTCCCATATCATAGGAGTCATCTTGGTCCCAAAATGCTAAGGAAAGCTTTGAAAGCAAACTTGCATTTGCATACTCTAGATTTGCCAAATGCCAGTTAAACAAGTTCATCTCCTCATCATTCATCGAAACACTAGAATCCTCTCGCAAAGTTTCCAATGCCTCTCCAAGAGAAATAATCGGAGATAAGTCTTGTCTTACCTTGTTTGCCTTGTCCAAAAGTTCATTATAAGCAACCTCCACTTTTTTTATCCAAATACTCGTCTACGGGCGTTCCGTCAGCATGATAGAGTGGACATTGGTCTCTCACCGTATGAAGTGTATATGACAATTGTCGAGCCAACACACCCAGTGGATTCCCTAATGTACCTGTCAAAACACTCTCTCCTAAGTCAGAGGCTGCTATTTTATTCCCTCCTTCCATCTTTTTTGTATACACCCTTCCACCTACACGCTTTCGTCCCTCCAAAACAATTACCTCAAATCCAAATAACATCAGTTGCCTTGCAGCCGCCAACCCAGCAAGACCTGCCCCGATAACGATCACTCTTCCCTTACTTGGACTAGTTGGAATCTTATCCTTGATTGCCAATGTCACCCCACAATTAACATACCCGTATGATAACATTTAGTAATATGTAGAATCTAATAAGCCACTATATTGTTGAGGTATAACGTCAACAAACATATCCTTTGTCAGCCAGATAGACATATTTTCACGCCATTTCGTGATAATGTGGTTCCTAATTAAAATTTAGTTGTACACTTCTGTCCCTCCATCTTCACTAACAACTCCAGCTTCGATTTCTTCATCCTTTAACGAGCCAGATGGAAATCCGGCCGTTAACGCAACTAAAGCCTCAGGATATGACTCGTTATTTATACAAATAATTTCATCTGAAACAAGCTTCTTTTTTGAAATCCTACTTTTAACCATTTTAGGCTGAACATCTATGAGCAAAATTAGAACTTTTTCCTCGAGTTTTGCTAATTTTACCTGACGAAGATGTAGCCACCAATGCAGATTGTTTCTCGTTAGTATTACCGAAAAAATCACTGGATACGTGATTTAAACACCATTTACTTTCTGATCTACCTCCTCTTCTATTCATCGCATGAGATGGAAATGATTCAGAATCAAACCGGATTTGGGAGTAGGGTTAGAATTTGGAACTGAACTGAAACTGGAAGTGAAATTTTTGGGTTTAGTTAGGCAAATGGATTGGGAATCAGAGAGGAATTTTGTTGACTCAAATTCGAGCATTGGTGATAAGTTTCGGATTGGTGTCACTGGCTCTACTTCTACTATTGGCTGGTGGGAGCACTATCCATGCTTCAAATACTTCTGAAGATAGCACAGGTACATGCGCTTCGTCTTCCGGTGCAAATCATGGTGGTTGGTAAAAGACGTTATGGTAGAAGCACAAACTTTATATTTCTTGGCTCTTCTACGGTAATTATCTTTATGTTATTTATCTCTTTCCACAATCAAATCTTACAGCTTTTAAGCTTCTATATAATATCTGTTGTATGATTGTGTTCTAATAGCCCGTCTTAAAACCACCTAGATTTATGACAGTGTGATTACAGTTAACATAGATCTGATTATCGACCTTGATGTTGTGTCTTGCAGGTGATTGGAATCCGTTGTTGGTGTCTATCAACTCTTTTGCTTATTGTGCAGGAACTGTATATTTGAGCAGCTCTTTCGTTATCTTAAGACGAAAGAATTATGTACTGTATTGTTGTGTGCTATTGTGCATGTATTGTCATGAGAAAGATTTCACTAGTGCTAGCAGAGTAAGCGCCTTTTACATAAGTAAGCAATTTGAAATTTTTGATTATTTTGATCTTTTCTGCATTGAATTGAATGTGTTGTAACACCTCATTACTTACTTATTAGAGATCTTTTTGTCTCAGATGTACTCGAGCAGTTGCGTTAAGCCAAGTAAGTGTGCAGGTTCAGATTTTCTTGGTTTATTTCTGAGCATTTCTCAGATGATAAAAGCTTCAAACCTCTGTTTGATTGCTTCCATATCATGCGTGAACATTCTGCCTCAGCATAACATCTATCTTTGAACATTCTGCCTCAGCATAACATCTATCTTTGTTGATATCTTCAAAGGATCTTTATCCTCATTGTGTAAGTGAACTTGAAGTTTTACTCAGAATGATCGGCTGACAAACATTAATGTTGCTGGGATCTTTAGTTTATCTGAAAGCATTATACTATCACAGAACAACAGCTTGTCAAGTTCCTTCAATCTGTTCGATGTTAATTTAGTGCTATTAGCACCCGTGCTTTGTAAAATATAGTGAGATTTTTGTTAATGCTAAGTGACACAGATACAATATATAATTCTCACTGTTTGTGTTTGTATTTGTGTTTGTGTTTGTATGTGTGATCAACTGTACATGTATGTATGTGTTTTCGTCGCTGAAGCTGGATTAACTGTATGTGTTTTGGAAGCAGAAGTTGGATGTATGTGGAAACTGTACCTAAGTAATGTCAATTTTTCAGTGCCATTTCTTTGTCAACTAAGTTACTATTATTTGCCTGCAGTGAATGCTCACAAGTCCATATTTCTCAAATTGTTCATGAGATTCAGGATTGAAACCAACAATAGTCGCAGAAGCTTCCACTCCTGCAAGAAGGGATCGATTGATGATGTGCTAATTCCAATCAAGTCATACCATATGTATGATCTTTCTGTCACACGCATTAAGCATGAGACGGAACTCCAGCAGATGTAGAACTTTGCAGCCAAGCTGACAGTGTATTTAATTCTAAGGATTATCTTGTGCCGCTAGTTGTACAACTAATTACTGCTCTCTTTATGTTTTAGCTAGTCAATAGCAATAGTGATGTTTAGATAGTTATTTCTGTTCGTCACTTGAAGCAACTTATTTTAGTTATTCACTTCCTGTTACCTTGACGTAAGATGAGATATGGTTTCAGTTGTGGATTTGTACTTGAGACTATTTCGAGTTTTTCATCCCTCATATAAAATACAAAGTCTTCAACATTTGCAGGTTTCATGTCCCAACCTGAAAAGGCTATATATCATTGGGCCTAACGGCATAAGTGCTCTATGCTCTCACCAACTGCCTATTTTCGCGAACTTCAAATGAGTGACAGTATCAGATTCTGGAAAATTGATGTCTCCATCAGTGACCAGAGGTGCTTTGAATCTCCGAATACTAAACTCCGGTGCTCTTTTCGTCTTAACTTAATAGTAATATTCAGATACTTATTTATGTTTGTCAAGTGAAGCAACTTCCTTGTACAATATTATCAATTAGAAATCTGAAGCATCACTATTCTCTGCACCCAGGAACAAAAAGCTAGTCAAGGAACTACCAATGGTGAGGTGTTTGACTCCAGAAAATCGCAAGAGGATGATATCGTGGCAGCTTTGAAGTATGTATGTAGGCTGATAACTCACAAGTATAAGACTATGATGAAGCTAGACATTGTGCTCACTGAAAATGAAGAGAGTTGCCTAGTCGCGTAAGGTTCCTCAAGTATATGCCTGTGATGAGGCTAGACATTGTTCTCCCTGAAAGTGAAGAAAGTTGTCTAGTCGCTTAAGGTTCCTTTACTAGTTGTTCTACGTAGGTTAACGTGCACTGTGTTTGCGTTATAAAGATGTATAAAAGTCTGGAAATGTGACTTTCATTATATTGTTCATTGAGTGACTAACTATTGAGGCTGCAGTCTTTGTTTTGCCTCCTGTAATTTGAGGATCAGGGAACCCATTTCAACTAATAAAAGTTCAACACAATTGCTATATTGTGTAAGATTGAAGCTTCCTCTTTCCTTGTCCTTTGAACACGTATGATGATCTCTCGTTTCTATGTTTCATGTTCTAGTACAAAGATCCATCAAAACATGGTACATGTAAAATCGCGTCCAAACAAAAAGAATTGTCAAAGCTACATCAAGCTTGCTTCTCAGGACAAAATTTGATCATGGGACATGGTTTCATTTACCTATACGCAGTCGTCTTGTAGAACATCTTTAGTTTGGCTTGAGAACAGTAACGTCTCATCATTGTTGACCTCTGGTGCAAGAGCTGTCATCTGCTGGTAATGTCGTGTCATCATTAGAACAGATTACAGATGGCTCATCATTCTTGGCTGGTTTAGATTCTATGGCATCCATCTGAGGCCATCTGAAGCTACTAGCTTTTTCTTTTGCCGACTTGAAAACATTTGAGACATAATCAGCATTCCTCTCACCATCTGGTTCTGGACCTGTTTTTCGACCCCAAGTAGCAGGATTCCACGAGATAGTTCTTTCAATACGAAAACTTGAACTTTGTCTTCTTATAGATCCAATTCTGAGCTGCTTCTCAGACACAACGACTAGAGAATGTCTGAGATTTTTCATCATTTCGTTAGCAATTGAGAATCCACACTCTTTCATTGACCTGACCATGAAGATAGAATCCTCTGAATCTGCTGTGTGCAAAGTCACTTGACGAGATTTTCCCTCTGTTTTGCTAGTGAGACTGATGAGGTTGGGCACTGCAGTGTGCGTATGTTGTTGAACATAGAAAATCCCCGCTGAGGGCTCGTTTGCAATGAACTTTATCATGTCCATCAACGACTCGGTTATCTCTACAAATCCATCCACTGTTGAAAACACATGCATTTTCTTGATCGCGAAAGGTTCTTCATCACTGGTAGCGCAAGAAAACAAATGCAGACAAATATAAGTTGAACTTACAATAAACAAAGCTAATTAGTTTAAATATTGACACATATGCCATCATCTCCATGTTTCCAAACAATCGAGTTAAATACTACAACAACATACTTAGTGTAATCTCACAAGAATCAAGATAAATACATTATGTACGAAACCGTTTGCTATATGTAACAGTATCAGGAAGTCCTTGTCATTTTTAAAGGCAACAGAATGCTAATTTAAGGTCACACATTGAAAACCTGCACCAAATGAACTAAATCTAGTATTTTAAGTGGAGAAGGATAGAGGGGCAGACCCTTCATACCCGAGCTTCGAGGGCTGTGATTGGTCCAAAGTGTCGTTTCCAGATAGATTTTCCGACCATTAAACATTTACCTGAAATAATTTATTCAGAACCTAAAATTCTAGATCCACAACCTATTTCTTGAAAAAAAAACATCCTCAATTTCTCCAAAAATCCAAAATATTGAACAAAAGTTCAGTGAGTAAATGTAAATATTCATCAAAAAACAAGAACCCCATTTCTCAAAATCAAATCTTTAGCTCATTTTCACAATTAATGATACTGTTAACCAAAAAAATATCATAATCAAAATTTACCCTTTTCCCTAAATCTACAATAAAGATACAGAGATCAATCTAGAAAAGAAAAATAATCAAATTTGGTAACCATCAGCTGATTTGAAGCTTTCTTCTGTATTTTGCATGGATTTTGAAAAAAAGATCAACTTTTTAGGAGAAAAAACACAAATTACCCTAAAAATTATTTGTCATTTCACTAATACTAATATTATTGAATATTTTTATTATTTCTTTTTATTAACTCATTTATTATTGATATATAAAATTGGTTATTTTGCAATTGTTTGGTACATAAAAATTGACCCCTCCCGCCCCCCCCCCCCCCCCCCACAAAAAGAAAAGGACAGTAAACAGATAATGTTTTCAATTGTAAATAGTGTACTATTATTTGTATTAATAAGCAAAATAGATAAGAGGAAAAGGATAAGTGATGCCTTTTTCTTCTTCAATCAGCTTAAGCTATGGAAAGTTGTGTTCTGGATTTCACTATAATAAGCAACCAATTTTATCAAAATATTTCAAGAATTCACATTTCTCAGTTTTTTTATCTACCCAAAATGGACACCATTTGAAGCTTAAGGTACAATATCCCAGAGCATCTTTTGATACTGAAGGTTTGTTCTTGTTAAAATTTCACTTTTTTAATGTTAAAAATTTGATCTTTATTTGTTTCTTCATGTTTAAAAGTTCAAGATTGTTGCTTTATAAGATAAATGAATAATGGGGTTCTGCTTTTTTGTTGTCTTTACTTAGAATTCTTGTACTTCTGTAATTTGGTTAAAGTAGTAATCTTTATTTGGTTCTTCATGTTTAAGATTTGATAAGATCCTCAGTCCTAGCAAACTTGAATTGTCTACAAGAACCTACGTTGTTTTACTCGCTCCGTTTTAATTTGTTTGTCTGATTTCAAGTTGGCGCGAAGTTTAACATAGTTAAGAAGAGTATTGGATTTTGTGGTATGTACTGACATACTGTTTAATCTTGGTGTTGTTAAACGTGTCATGTGGAAAGTTAATTGTCAAAAAGTAAAGAGGTATTGTTTTTGAAACGGACTAAAGTAAGGCGAACAGATTTGAAAGGGACGGACTAACATGTTTTTATTATTCTTGATGATGTTCTGAAGCCACTGTTCATTTGAACCATTTTTGCCTATTAGGCATCTGATTTGTTTTTCATGCAATTTCTACTGATCAGTTTGTTATTCGCGGTGACCCTATTGCAGGCCTTCCCTCTGAGATTACTGAGGATTCTAAGTTTGTTTCTATAAACGCCGAAGACCCAAAATATGGTCCACCTGTAAGTTCTGGTTAGTTATTTTACAGTAGCATCAGTCATTGTATTCCTATACTCATTTTGGTGTTCAATATGGGAACTACTATGAATCAAAATTTTAGAGAACTCAAATTTACCGGCATTTCTGAAGTAGCTGAAATTTTCGAGATTTTGTGACTCATAAGATGTATTAGAAGTAACTCTTGGTCTGATTAAGAAGCTACGGCGAAGGGAATAAGGATATCATGTTTTAACGACTGCATACAATGTTGTATGAAAGTTAATACCAGATAATGGCGGTTTTTGGATGGCCTTCAAATGTTTTCTTTTCAAGCTAAAAGATTCTTGAAAGATTAGCACATGTTAGGTGTTTTTTCTGATACACTTCGCTCGATCGTTTTTATCTTAAATGAAAGCCTCAATGACCCCTTTTACAGGCTTTGTTGTTGCTGGGCTTCGAAGTGGACGAAGCAGCAAAGGTAATTTCTACACTGATTACCTTTTACATGTTCATGTTTGGCTGTGCTGAGAGTTTTGTGTGTTATAACATTACCATTGGTGAATCGGTGTGTCAGATGGTACTCGGAAAGAAACAAGAATCCTCTTAATGCTATATATCTTAGTATTAGGATAAGAAGGTAAAACAAATAGAGTAACCATATCTGATAGATAGCAGTAATTTTGAGGTCAGTGAAACGTGCTCCTTGGAATATAAACTTAAGACAATAGCAAGAAGGCATAACACGTAGATAGACACCTTAACTTGGCCTCAACTCTAGACACCTCAACTCGTCATCATTGTGTCCGTTGAACACTCCAACGTACAAAATAATCATCTAGACACCTTCAAAATTTGTGTGTTATGCCAGTGTCGGTTGTCCACGAAACACATAGGGGACAAGTTGGGGTACCTAGATGTGAATTTTCAAAGTTGGAGTGTTTAGCTACGAGTTGAGCCCAAGTTAAGGTGTCTATCTATTATTATGCTTAACTAAAACTGCATCGTCGGCATACATTTACATCGATAACTGATCCCTCTATGTTTATCTTGTTGCAGATACAACAGCTTTTGAAGGAGATGGATGGTGAATTCCTCCAGGTAAATTTTACTAGACTTCTCCACCGCTAATTAGTGGATGATATTATCTGAAGCCAGAGAGCCTGTATAATTAACTATATGCTTTTTCTGTACTAAATGAGTAAATGCCATTTTCTTGAAGTTACGTCTAATACAACGTATGCTGCAGGTCATCTTTTGTACCGAAGACATGATTTCTCGTTCACTATGGGAAGCAGTGAACACAAAACAGACCAATTTAGATGCTTCAAAGGTCAGATAACAGAACTATCTCTACACTTCTACACACACAAGACTGTTGGTGCATCTACATTAGATCGAACATTTTTTTTTAAGAGTCTGTTTAGTCTGCTGAGAGATTCGTAAGTCAGTAGAAAATGAAGAGAAACCTCTGGTGTTAGAGAACCAAGAGTATTGTCATATTAAAATGAAATGGTTCCAATGGCCCTTTTTGTTTTAATAATATATGCTTATCCTCCGAGTCGTTTACACTTCTACTCAGTTAATTAAATGTTAATGAAGTGTCGTCTTAAGCATCGTGAAGTTGGTTGTATAAACGACAAATTCATCGTAACTTACTCTAATGTGGAGGTATCATTATGCAGATTGCTAAACAGCTCCTGCGAATTTGCTTCCTGTCTGGCCTTACCGGAGAGGAGATGATGATGTTTCTTGACGCATTTGAAGAAAGTGGTAAATAACTTTTTGATATTCTGCATTCACAGCCAAAAATCTTTTATCTTTTCGTCTGTGTTCATAGCCGCTGATCGTAAAATTAACAAAAGATTATGTCTAAACAGAGAAAACTCATTAAAGACAGAGAAATACAGGACTATCTTGAGATATTAGTAGGAAAAACAGATTATTATAGAACTTTTATTAGTAAAACACATTAGTATTAGAATGTTCTCTTTGTTCACCAGAGACGGAGTCATGATTTGACGTTTATGGTTTGAGATTCTATTCCCTTTATACATGTTCATTACATTTACATCGTTCTCTTTCGTGATCTTCTTTCCATATCAATGATAAACAAGGCATTAGACCGATACAATAACAACTGATTTCATTTCTATCATTTATGAACTTTTTTTTGAGTTCAATGTGGCCTGTGATATCGATGATCTTCTACATGGTCATACTCGTTGACCATTGTACTTTTGAAATTATGACTTCAGAATTCAGTATTTTTTGAAAATTTTATGTTTTTCACATATATATTTATGTTCTGTGTCGAAAATACTGGATTCAGTTGAACACATATATAACTATGTGCAGGACTTGAAGACCCCGTCTTTGCTGCTCTTGTTCCAAACAGCGCGGAGAAGCCATTACAAGAATTAATCGATGAGATTATGGGAAATCATGAACTACTTGTAAGCTTAGTTCACTTCCTTTTACCAATACATACTACAATTAAACATGCATTATCAACGAAATTTTGTTGTTTAGCTACAAAATTACGTTACTCATGTCTAACTAATTCCGATTCGTTGTTTTTTCTACAAGTATATATTATATCAACATGTTTTTTTTCAGTATGGCTGATATTTTCTTTATATTTTTGCAGTCTGCCAAAAATTCAAGCTAGAGGGGGTAAAAATGTATTTTTCTTTTTTATAATTAGCACTGATTATAAATTTTGTTATTTAATGTCCTTCACCAAATTAAAATATTATAACACATCAAATTATTTGAATATTAAATGCACATACAACATTCATTAACTATTTTTTATCTTAAGAAAAACTGAAAAAGAAATTAAATGTGGAATTAGAGAGTTCATGTATCTATTTCATTTGTACTACATTATCAAAAATCATGATATTTTAAAAGAAAAAGAAAATGAAACGTTATTTCTAAGTGACAAACAATGAAGAAGTTGGAAAGTCATTACTAATTGATAAATTACCATTAAGAAAATAACTTTTTACAATAAATAATAAATGGTACATGTCCTATGCATAATATATATATATATATATATATATATATATTCAAAAGCTCTATAGTAATTAAATGTAGACTAATTTAATTTAATACATACAATCAATAAATTTGTTAAAGGAATTCCAAAGAACATCAAAGAAAATTGTTTCCATTTTTCTCATGGACATATTTCAGTTGAGTAGGATTTCTTTAATCTTTATTTTTGACTTCTTTTTCATCATTTGTCCCTTTTCTTTAAAGCAACATTTGCATGAAATAATAGATGGTGAAGTATGTAGATTTAATGAATATATAATGGAATCAAAGAATTGCCAAATTCAAACTTTGTGGGATGATATATGAAGATTACCATTTCCATCATCAACATTAGCAAGATTCATGAGGTATGAAAGAAAGAAGATTGGTTTCTTTAAAAGACTGATTTTATAATTTTCATTAATTGTATTTTCTTTATAGTTTCTTATGATTATATTATTTATAGATGAAAAACAATGTGTACGATTTAATATGTTATCACTACTGAAGAAGTGTATAGTGTATTTGTTGGGAGTCTTAAATGATATATTGCTTAATTATTTTCATTTAAATAATTTCTAAAATTTTGTTCCATGTCATTATTTACTAAGGTTTAACAGATCTTTATTTTGAATTTTATTATGATTATAAATATCGATAAATTAGAGTGTTAATGCAATTTTACTATACTAGATGAATTGTTGATC